GTTGCTTCATTGTGTTCAAACAGACCAAAATGAGTATGTTTTTAAATGAATGGTATCTGAAGCATCTGCACTTCTGAAGTAGCACCTCCAACTCATCTTTTGAGTATTAGTTTGCTAATACATCTGAGTAGCTCTAAGCTGGAGAGAGAGAAAGTCAGATTTGTGTTTCAGTGAGATTTCACTAATTGCTCTCATTTTTAATCACTGAAAGTTAGCTTGACATACAGAGTGTCTTCAGAATCCTGTAAGTATAGCACATCATTTATGAAAGTTTATAGCACATTATTTATGAAAGTTTAAATAACCCATTTCCTTTCCTTCTTCATTCTACCAACATTTTGAATGTTTTATTATGAGTGTTGTAGACTTAGCCTTTAACAGTCTACTTGTAGGTGGAGTTTTTATGCTTTATGTACAATTAGCTCAAGACTCATTACATTCAAGTAATAGATATGGAAAGAATATCTAGATTTATAGCAGGTTCAGGCCCTTTATCTCTAGAATATGAACGAAACCTCTCTTACTTTTCTAAACCAGTTATCCTATTCCTCTCTGCTCTGCTCCATGGAGCATTTCACTCTGCAAACTGCATATAGGGTCTTCACGGGCTACAGATAGTTCACAATTCCCTTTCTCTGTGATGTATCTGTTGTATTCAGTAACTACATGCTAGGAGTAGCTGGTACTAGTAAACCAGGCAGAATTGGCTTCACCAGGAGAACTCAGAGAACTCAGAAGACTCGCCGCCGTTTTCTATTAATATCGTGTTCTGAATCTGTAGAGACTTTGATTAAGAAATGAATACCCAGATTACGAAGTTAAGAACTTCTGTTTTCTAATCTTGATGTCTGTTTGAGAGAATGATGTAATATTTTAAAGATTTTTTGGGTAAAGATGTTCTTCATCTCATTTTCCATTTTGAAAATAATAGTAAGAGTTTGGGCTTGTTAATCTGCTATCAATTCTGTTTTCTCTTATATTCTGAATATGCTTGTTTTCCTGAGTAAATACTACCCAAAGTTTCATTCTGCTTTGTACAGATGCTAAAGTTGTTATGTGATAGGACCACAGTCCAGTGACTGAGTTAGAAAATACGTGACAGTATGCTTTTTTTAAACTGTATGATTTATAATATATACAGCAGTAGTATTACTGCTGTCACTGATGGAGCTTCTCTGATGGGAGAATTACAGTGGAAGCTAAAAAGACAATTTATAGGTGCATTTAACTGCGATTTTCATGCTGTAAGGAGGCAACTGTTTGCCTTATTTTGTTACATACTGACACATACATTTTCAGAAAAGTCCTTATTCATGCACGTTAACTCTTGATATTTAATTGCACTGTTTCTCTGTAGAATGGGATGATACTTGCTGAAACTGTTAGCCTTAGCAGCTATTATTGGTCCAGGTCTTTTAAAAGACTAATCTGGTTAGAGAAACTTTACACACTAAAGAGAGAAATCAGATGATGAAATAGGCTAAACCAGGCCTAATGATGCCTCTAGAGGATAACCTTAGCAGGTGTCCTAGGGTTTGGTTTTGGTTTTGTCTCAATGCAAGGTACAGAACCAAAGAGCTGATGCTGTAAATAGGCAAAACATCTTGGTCCATTTGATTTCTTGTGCGTTCATGAATGTAGGGCTGGCATCTGCATGAAATAGCAGAGTTTACTTTGGATTACCTTAATTCTATAGAGTTTGGGGAAGAAGAAAGTGCTGGCAGGTACACTGGGGAGCATTAAGAATGTTTCATTTTCATAGCAAAATAATCCTGTGAACTGCACATATGTTGTCTGCCTGTTTTGTAAGGCTTGGTGGGAATTAACTGTAGATTGTCAGAATTTTACATCAGCTGTATTCCTCTTTTATCAGCTGTGAGTATGGAAAAATGTTGGCAGAACGTGAGAGATTTAAAATCTGTAATCAGAATACGCTGCTTGGGGCCAGCTCTCCAGTGTCTTTTACTCAACTGCAAAGTATTTTTTAAAAGAGAAGAGCACTGAAAGGAATGGCATAATTGGATATTAAACAGCTAATTTAATTTGCTGACTGTTTTTCCTAGAACTTACTGGACTGTCTCTTAAAATGCTTTTTATGTGAGGTATAAAATGTTACTGCAGCAAACATTTTTTACGTGTTTTGGTGGCAGACATCTGATGGTGGCAGACATCTGCACAGATGGTGGCAGACATCTGCACAGATTTATGTTGCATATTTTCGGTGAACCCATTATACTTTGCCTTTCGGCATTGATTTCAGAGATGCTGCTTCCCTCATTCTGCCCTCTCTACCCACTGCTTCTTGGAGTCTGCTGTTAATACACAGCAGACAATTTTTTTCAAGACTGTTACTGTAAAAAAAAAAAAAAGAGGTGAAGCTCTGTGAAGTCATGCCTTTGGGAGAATTTCCAAACCAGCTCTTCCAGGAGATAGCGGGTTTTTTTTTTTTTTTTGTTTCAAATGCATAATAACTTCACTACTTTGCTGAGGAAGTGTGAAAACACTTCCAGCTAAGAACACCACTCCTGCGTCCTGGATTTATGTGGTTATCAGCGAGCAGTCCTCCGCTGGTACTCGCAAGTGGTTCGTAATTCTCTCGGAATGGACAAGGGTTTTGTAGGTTCATATTCTTTCTCTGACAAAATATTTCTTGCCAAAGGCAATATTTTTCATGGCTTGGCTTTCCTAGTGCTAAGGAATCTTTAAAAGCAGAGTTTGTGGCCTCTGAAAGGCAAGTACCAGTAGGCATAAAAGCCTACTGTGACATTAGAAAAGGCTTTGAAAACTTTTATATTTGTTCACACAAGCATTTCAGCATAGAAAATTCGGCTTTTAAGCTTCATTAACTTCATAAGACTGCAAACTGAGAGTCCAATGTCTAATGCATTTAACTTTAAGACAACAAGCACTAAGGTTGAAATGCAGATTGGATGCAGCAAAAAATAAAAATAAATTAATTGGATTTCCACTCCAGAGAAAAGTACTGTGAGACCATCACCTCTGCAGCACTCTAAGCCTGGTCTGAAGTTTTAAATGTGCCATTCTGAAAAAAGGTAGAATACTTTGCTGAGCAATGTGAAAGAAGGTAAATTGACTTATAGAAAGGAATAATACGTATGAGCTGCAAGACATCTGTATTTATAGAATGTAATATTCAAAATCCTTCGGCATGGTCCACCTGTTTAGGATGGATGCAGTAATAAAACTTGTACTAAGTCACTGCTGAGAATTTTTCAGAACTCCTCTCTCCTAGCACACCACTGACAGTGTAATATTATGAAATAAATATTCTGGTACATAAGGATGAGATCTAAGTAAGAAAATGTGGAATGTTTCTGAGGACTTCAAGCATGGACTCTGGGAAACATGACTTGCCTTTCCAATGCATATAAGGCATCAAATGTGGAGTATGCTTGAGTCCAGCCTTAAGCAAGTATGTGAACAATGTCGTTTGGTTTAAGCATTTCCTTTTAAGTCCATGTGTGGTACTTAAAATTGTTTTTTTTATGTCAAAAAGGTACCAGTTCAAATATTAATACAGAATATACCATTTCAAGGGAAAACAGAGAAGCTTTGTAATACATTACAATCTGAACCCTAGCTTTAAAGTTCTTTTTTTTTCTTTAAACTTCATATAATCATAAAATTTTAGATGAGGCACTTAAAATAGCACAGGTTGAATTCCAGAGTTGTTTTCACATCAGAATCTACAGACTTGTAGAAGAATGACATGAATGACTTGACTTTACAGTATGAATTGAAAAACGCTAGATCTGCAGCCTACAATGTTAATATCTCATTAGGTATTAAGAGGTTTTTTTGCATGCCTTCTCTGCAACCATCTGAACTCTCTCAGTCTCCACAGTGAGCTCCCTACTGCCATTGCTATCTGCCTTTAATTTGCCTTGATTAACAAAACTAATAATACACTTTAACAACATCCTAACTTTAACCTGGTTTACTATTGTGGATTGCAGCTTTTGCTGTATTCCAGACTTGGTTTTCATTGAGCTTCACAGAAAATCCACTACCCTAATTTTCTTATACTGTTCTATGTTTAGAAAACCTTTGCGATTACATCTCTTGCTCAATTCTAATGAAAGACACCTTTTTTAATTTGTATATGAGACAAGCGATCAGAAGAGCCAAGAATAAAATGCTTCTGTATTTATAATAGGTTGTATTAGGGCAAATAGTGTGGCTGGGGATGCAGCGCGTCGCGCAGAGCAGCGCGTCAGAGACCATCCGCCTGCACTGTTCTGTTTTTTGGTGTTTGTTTAAGTGACTGCGCAGAGGCCTGACTTTTCTCCAGGATCTGCTAGGGACATAAGCTTGCAGCTTGCCCCAGAACTTAGCATTCTTACAAAAAGCATCATCTGGTCTGATCTTATGCCATGTACGTTCAGGGACAGTGTGCTTTCTACAGCCAGTGGATGTATGGCAGGCAGAGCATGACGTGCGCTTTATAGGAAATTGCAGAGGATTACAAACAGCACAGTCTGTTGTCTGAACGTTTTCCACGTTTGTGATCCACGAAGAAGGGACTGCAAAACCTTTAAAAACTAAAGTAGCGGATTTTTTTTTTCAGTCATCAGGTTTCATTATTCTAGTAACACTGTGGCAGACTATGCTGTTAAATTAAAACCTGCCATTTTATGCAGAGATGATTCATTTTTAAAAAGTGAAGAAAAATTAATAGTAGTGTTTAAAGTCGTTGTAAGAGTGCATTTATTTAAAGAGGCTTTTTGTTTTCTTAGGAAGGTAGGAGTGGTCCATGAGAAACACTGTGATCAACCAGATGTTTGTAAATTCTTAGATGTGTTAGTAGACTTGTTTTTTTGTCTTTAGGTAATCCAGAAGATATCCAGCAGCACAAAAATGTCAAGCAGCAGAATAAGGAGATAACAATAGCTATGGCTGTTACTGCATTTTTAAAGCAAAAGCACTCTATTCTGTGAGTTTTCCTAACTAAGCACTTAAGCACTATTTTTTTTTTCTAGACCTAAAGATTATCGAAGGAAGTAACAATAAAAGAAGAAGAATTATTCTCAGGAACATCTGCCCTCCTTGAAAAAGAATTCTTCTAACTTGGAAGTCTCTGAGTCGTCCCTTCCATATAGAATGGTTTTGATAAGTATCTACAAACTTCATTGGAAAAGATTGTAAACATTATCATAACTGAAACTGCTAAGAATGGGTGTTGCGTTATTAAAACACCTGTACTGTATATTGTACGATCTGGTGTTTGTTAATTAAAATTCTTTTATTATTACAGAATTGATACAATTTGTATGAATGTTTACATCTCAAGGAAACAGTACATTGTTTATTGAAATGAAGGCATCTCACTCTAATAAAAGTTGCAAAACTGGAATTCCATGCATTAAGAGCAGTGAATAATTATGGTCAGAGGACCCGTGAACAGCAGACTATCTGTCAATAATCTGACTTAGTTTTCTGATAAAACAGATGCTCTATCCTTATAGAGTTTGATGAATGAGAAAATGCAAATTCCAGGTCTGAGAAAGGGAACTGTTCATGAAGTACTCATTTTCTGTTTAGAGAACATCAAAATCAAGTGAATTGAGCTGTTTTTTACTTCTGTAGAAGAAACCTTGTGCAGTTTTGAAAGCCTGTTCTAGAATCTGGAGTAATGGTGAGTTTTTGCTGAATGCACATGTGTGCAGACCTGCAGTTTCCATACCTTTTTGGATGAATATACCTATTTAAATAGGTATATGAGATGATAGGATGTGATGAGAACTGTAAACTTCTTCCAGAGCCAAATTGTATTAAAACTAATGTTACTTCTCAGAGAAAGCAGTTTATATTCATGTTCAAGCATACAGTAGTCCTCTTAGGTATAGGGAAAATACTATCAAAAAATGGACCTCGAGGGAATCAGAGGGTGGTGAGATTTCTGATGGGAATTTTTTAGGTCCTGTGGGAGTTCAGCTTGCAATCTTCAGATGACTCTTTCCTCTCTAAACTTCTTTTCTGCATGACATGCTTTGCCTCTAGCACATTTGTTATGAGTAGACAAATATTTGATCACTGACTGTGTGTTTACATCCTGAAGGTTTCGCCTTCTTTTAGATACAGTATGCGCAGGATTTGCAATACTGAAAATGAAGCCAAAGGGAAAATAGATTTATGCTTTCAGATCTGTTAGGAGGAGAGAGATTGCAGCTTTCTACAGCATTTGGAGTTTCTCACGTGCTGAAAGATTGACGTTTCGGTGTCCCATCCAAACGTATTGCTGGAATACTGCAAAGCAGCAAGGAAAGCATGACTTTCGTAGGCAAGACGTTGTCTGCTACATTGAGAACAATCTGGCTCTTCCAGATGTGAGCAAGGACATTTCTCAAAAGCACGGCTGTATGGAATTTTAGCTGAAGTGTTTTCCACAGTGTTCCTAAACAATAGGCTGGAAAGACCAGTTGTACTAACAAGTTCAAGCAAAGCAGACATACCGTAGCTATAATCTCTTGAAGATACTGTACTCGGGCATGGTCATGCTTGACTTCCTCTTCAGCCTCCCATAGCCTTCTTCCATAACCAGATTGCATCCACACAACAGACCAGGCTGGTGTGGGAAAGGTATACTTCCATTACACGTTTTCTTAAGCTATTCAAATTATGAACAGAAACAGAACTAGTTTTTCTTTTTTAAGGTCTTACTGTTTTCCAGGCTGTTGTTAGTCTGCTCTGTACTTAAACCTCTAGTGCACTGGAGAACAACGTCAGGGTTGATTCTTCTCTGCTTTCTAGCTGCTGAGTGGTATTAAATATTAAATATACATGCTACTTCGTTCTTGGTATGGAGACATTGCACAGTTGTAAGCAGGAGACATAACATTCCCTCTTCCTTAAAATGTTGGCAAACAAAAGAACTTCATCCAGGTATAACATTTGAAGATAGTACACTTTGGAAACGATACAGTGTATTTTTTTAACTGGCTCTTCCTCTTTCAGGAGTGGGTCTGATGATAACCCAAAATGGTATAGAATTCGCTAAAGAACTTCTTGAACTAGCAGTCAGTAAATGCAGCTTCCATGAAGATGCTCGTCTTTCCCCCCACCCTCCCCTTTAAGCCAAAAACTGATTTTGATTCAAGTCTTAAGAACATGCTGTCCTTACTCGTATTAAAGAATAGAGTAGCAACATTTCATTACAAAAACCAAACAGTGAAACTGAACTTAAGTGCTGAATGATGCAAAGTAAGTCTTAAAATTTATTTTGCTTTTGCAAATCACTCCCCGAAGCCTGTTACAACCCTGCAGGCGGTTCTGTAAATAAATTTAAGCGCTTGTTGTGTATATAGTAGAAAATCTGGTATGTTATCTTCCAAATTTTACATTGTTTGATGAGGAAAATGTGAGTGTTTTCTATATCTACTTTGTGCAAACATAGTACAGGAAGAAAAACATTGTTTTATTTATACTCTATTTTTCCACATCAGGCAGTTCTTTGGCATTCAGATGGGCTTATCCCAGGAAATGTTTCTATCCAGTGAGTCTGCAGACTTAATTTCAAAGTCAGTAACCAAATTTAGTTAACTAATATGGGTATTTTTTTTAAAGCAGAAAGTTAAAATAAACCCTCTTTCTGCATAAAGACACACTATAAATTTTATAGGTAAGATCTGGGTGGCTTCAGCTGTTCATCCTGTGTTAAATGCTTCACAATCAGCAAGTTAAGTTTATTAGACCATCTGGAAAAATCTGAGTTGCTCGTTACAGTGACTGAATTCTGGACAAAATGTTGACCTTACGCTTCTGTCTCTTACTTTTTTTTGGCAAATACACAAATTCTGAATAATATTTTTATAATGTGGTAGTGCCCACCTAATGGTTACTTTTTATTACCAAGGTATATGCAGGACATTAACATATGACCAAGGATGTATGAAGCATTCTGACTAGGGAGTGCCAGTAAATGCCATTATGAATACAAATGTAAACCAGATAAATTAATAAAATCAATTAAAGCTTTCACCTTTATATATAATCTATTGAATTGTAACTACTGCCCTTTATTATCTCTGAGCAATCCCTCATTTTGTTTACTTCACTGGATATGCATTATTTAAGTAAATATTTATCTTGCTGCCTGATACGAATATTGTTTCACAGTGATTTCAGGCTGTTACTGTTCATTTGAAACGAGGAGTGAATAATGCCCATGAACTGCCTTATTATGTAGAGTCTGAATACATCTACACTGTCTCCCCTACCTCCGTTTTTTTGCCCTGCTCTTCTTACTAGTCCCCCAGGGGCCTGAGATTTGGATATGGTGTTGCTTGATGACTGGTCTAGGCTGCAAATTCTAACTTTACCTAAGGCTCAAAGTCTTTCTGAGACAACTCCAGCAGATTTGCTTGAACACTGGTTTTCTGCCACTGTCCTCCTCAGAGTTTCTTCCAAAGGACTGACAAATGGGTGCATCGTGGGAGAGACTCTGGAAGGTCTGAGCACAGGGAATTGGGGGATTTCGCCCAACATGTGCATGGGAGAGCACAAACGGGGCAGGGGCAGTCGGGCTGCCGGGGCTTTATGGAGTCAGGCTATGTTCACCTGGGTGTTCACAGCCAAGTGCAAACAGATAAGTTAATCATATAATACAGACATAACCTGTATTTATTTTAATATATCTCTCTGAATTTAAACTATGTGTTCCAGGTTTAGAAACAGTTACTTTATTAATCTAACTTTTCAGAAAAACAGAAATACATCTTTTTTATATATCTTTTACACACACACACATATATATATATATTTATATATTTTATATATGTATCTATATGCATATGTACATGTTCACCCCCCACATAGCTTGAGCCTATCAAAACCATCCAAAGCACTCTGACCTCCATATTAACTACACGGAAAGATTTATACATAGATGCTAGGATTTTGTACCTATGATTCATGTATTTGTGTACACACACAGACATGCCCACTTATTTGATGCCTCGTTAATCTCATTAAAGATGTCGGGGGGACTATATTAAGAGCATCTTAAGAGCAACACTAATCAGATGATAAGATGTAGTACTGATAACTTTTTCTTTCTTTAGTTAATAGCTCAGGCTCTTGACCAGATACAGGTTTTGGCCTTGGAGAGAATCATGTTCCTTTATTCCTTCTGCCGTGCTTCTGTGACTGATGACTCGTGTTCCTACGCTCTGTACTTCAGAGTGTTCTTCAGCACATAGTCTGGGAAGATTTGGGTTTTTTTTTTTGGGGGGGGGGGGGGGGGGGGGTATGGAAAACCCTTAAGTCAGCATGCAATGCTGAAATACAGTAATATAACCAAAAAAGATTCAGTGAAAAGTAGGACATCTTTTATTCATGTTCAGCCTGGAGCAGAGAAAGCTTCAGGGGCCCTCCCAGCAGCAATACTTACGGGGAGATTATCACGGAAACAGAGCCAGGCTCTTCCCAGTGGTGCGTGGTGGGAAACAGAGAGATAATGAGATAAGTGGAAACGAGAGGTTCAGGCTGGATATACAGAGAAACTTTTTAACCTTGACAGTGAAACAGTGGAGCAGGTTGCGCAGAGAGGTTTTAGTCTCCATCCCATGCAGGTTTCACTCCCCAGCCCTGAGCAACCCGCTCTGACCTAGATGCTGCTTTGAGCTGGCGACTGGACTGGAGACCTCCTGAAGTCCCTTCCAGGCTGAATTATCCTGCAATCTTAGGTAGCAGCATCTGGTGTTCAGGCACAGCAGTACCAGTTGCTTGCGCTCACATACCCAGGTCGCACTGCTGGGCTCACTTGGTTTTGGCTGAAGCAGCTGAGAAAACCTGCCTGGAAAGGCAGTGCTGTTCAAAGCTGTCATTCAAGTCACTTTATGTGACTATGTACCTGCTTTGTATTCAAATAATTGCTTTGCATTCTTCAAGTGGTTAACGGGGTTTTTTTCTCCTCATCATTCAGTGATCCACGTTGCCTTTGCAACGAGACAGGTCAGTCTTTTGCTGCTCCTTTGGCATGAAAGTATGCAAAATGTCACATCCATAGGTGGTTCAACCAACTTGCTTCATATCCACTCTTTTCACTTGTCCATCTGTAATTTTTAAGGCTAAAAATTGTTTCAACTAAGTGCATGTTTTCATATATCCTTTAAAATAAAAATGCTGCCCAGAAGTGCTGAAAAAGGAAAATATGTTTTCTTCTCTTTACATTTTGTCCCCCTGAAGATCAATATGATTGTTCCAAGTTAAAAATCAGTAGAATACAGAGTTAATGTATAAAAGCTTGCCACTTTTATTTGCATACAAAACAGATATTAAAGAGGTTCACAATAAATTATCAGTGTGTTCCCACAGAACATTCTTGTGTATTTATATAATGTGGGTTAAAAAAAAAACAA